AGGGGTGAACAGATGGTGGGATTGGCATAGTATAGATTGGCTGTTGCCTTGCTTTTTTGCGGTCCATCATGCTTTCTTTGTGCTTTGCTTGTCGATGAACATGTTAGACCTTCAAAACACGTCTAATTAGACAGACAGAAACGGTGTCTGAAACATATACGTTATGGATCAAGTCGAGTTCCGCAACTGCGCAGGATTCCGCAACTAGGATTCCGCAACTGTTTGGTCGGATTCCGCAACTGGGATTCCGCAACTAGGATTCCGAAACTAGGATTCCGCAACTGGGATTCCGCAACTGGGATTCCGCAACTACGATTCCGCAACTAGGAGTCCGAAACTAGGATTCCGCAACTGTCAGGATTCCGCAACTAGGCTTGCGCAACTAGGTTTCTGCAACTGGGATTCCACAACTGGCGTTCCGCAACTAGATTCCGCAACATTGTGGATTCCCTCACTTGGATTCCGCAACTTGAATGATGAGGGGGTTGGCGTGATGTCAAGATCACACGATGGGGACAAGGGGGGATGGGGGGGTGGGGGGGGGTTGGGTGGGGGTCTAATGACGTTGGTTTGGATGTGCTTCAAAGGTGATGTGACAGGCACACGCTATTGCATGATGTGGAGATCTCCAGTTGCAAGTTTCAGAAGGCAAGTTGCAGAATCTGACTTCCAGTTTCAGAATATTTCAGAATACCAGTTGCAGAATCTAACTTTCCAGTTTCAGAATACAAGTTTCAGAATCCCAGTTTCAGAATCCTAGTTTCAGAACCCCAGTTTCAGAATCCTAGTTTCAGAACCCCAGTTTCAGAATACTAGTTTCAGAAGCCAAGTTTCAGAACCCTAGTTTCAGAACCCCAGTTTCAGAACCCTAGTTTCAGAATCCGACCGATTAGTTTCCGAATCCGGCTCTAACCTATACGTTATCGTTATCATGATATTGCCGTACATCGTTGTATGCTTGCGAGTTGGTAAAGATTTAAGAGAAAAGTGTCCTAGGTCGGTGTCCACTGATCCCTAGGTCGGCTAAGTCCCGTTCTTTGGGCAGGTAGTGGATAGAGGTGGCACGGACTTCTTGGGAAACAGTATATGATCTGCATATTGTAGAAACAGTGTAGATAGACATGACTGTATGATGTATAAATAATATATATGACTGTATGATAGATTGTGCTCTTTGACCTTCACCCACTTCCACCCGTTCAGAAAACCGACCTGCATCGACTCGCTGACTCGCTGACTGCTGTGGTGACAGCATCGACGGGTTCGCATCGAACAACGCATGGAACAACGAAGCACCGGTTCGTACGGTTCGTACCGGTTGCTCCCCCCGCTCGTGCCGACAGTCACGGGGAAGAAGTCATGGGGAGAAGCAGTCTTTATGACATCTGTTGGTTTTGGAGGCCATGAACTCATCCTGCTATACACCTCCTATACCGCGCTGTTCAGGCCCTGACGGCCGACAATTCTGAGCACTGGCTGGGGTTCGTGGCGAGGAGGGCTCGTGTCGACCTGGTGATGGGGGGCGAACGGAGCGGGATTTTTCACGACATGTTGAACTTCAAATTCCAAGTTGTCCTGCGAAAGTGAACTGCTTTTCAGGACAGTTCGATGTTCCCTGTTGTCTGAGCGTGGAGAAAAAACAGCACAACATGAGTTACATGAGCACCAGGGTGTGTTCAACACTAGGTCAACGATTTTGAGCAGCCATGTTCTAGATTGGTTGTTACAAAAGTTGTCGTCTGACATGGGGCGCATGTCTGCTCGAACTTCGCGTGTGAACGAGATTTGGCCCCGGGCTCCACATGAAGTATCGATACTCTTCGAACGTGACTTGCTAGTCGGAACACGGCTGGGTGTAACAAGACCTCCTACTAAAGTATTCCAAACGAGGCCCGGAGGCCCCCGAAAAAAAGGAAAAAAAAAGATAGTGCATTGGAGTTAGTACCCTCCAATTGAGTTTATTTTTATGCTCCCGAGCAGTACTAGTCGCACCTAGTAGATAAGAGCATGATCACGTAGCCAAAGCTTGTCTTACACTATTTTATCTCTTCTATTGCTCCAGGTGATGGAAAATACGGCTTGTGCTGGCCCCTAACCAACCCTAATATCCACAACAGCAGGCACTTGGAATGTGGACCGAAGGGAGATGATGCTGTCTTCACTCCCTACTGCTGTTTATTTTGGGTAGCCTTCTTTTGGAAAAAAAACACGCCGACGACCTTCAACACAAAGAAACGTGGACTGCACGGACCGAGCACCGCTGCTGGCGCCAGAACCCCATGGCTGGGTAGTCTCTGAAAAACGGCTGCGGCCGTGCCTGGGTCCAAGCCTAGGGTATCGAAGAGGACTTTGATTCAGAGTGTTGAGATTTTGACAGGTTAGGTCGTAGGGAATGATTTGTAAGTCGACCTAGGCACCTAAGGGCTAGACTCTCGATTGATCAACACCCTCGAAGAGGTTTGACAATCCAAAGGAGGGATTAGTAAAAATCAAGAGTCTACAAGATGTTTGTTCCACCTGTGGAAGTACACTGCAGATCACTACTATGCTTTCTAGAAAGATTATTCATACGGGGGCTCGCAAGAGGAAACAGCCAAGCTGGATGTCTCCTTACTCTCCAGTGTCGTGGCAGGTTCCAGGCTTGTTGCGGATGCCACATCTTCAGATCCATGCTGTCCTGAAAGCCATCGGAAAGTCCCGGGTTCTTTGGAACAAATTGGCAATGCCACCAATTGCAGTCGGTTCTCCATTATATAAGTTGAGAGTAGTGGGCATAAAATCCCATGTTGGCTGATCATGTGGATATATATATATATATATGTATTTACTTTTTGAACAATGAAACAAGTTCAAGTACGGATGAACCATCAGAAAAGTCCAAAAGACAGGCACACGTACTGATGAACCATGTTTTCAGTGGATCTTCCAACTCAGCACATTCCAACATAGACCTCCACCAGAGCCCCTGGCAGAACAAATCAAACCAAAGCATTACTTTCCAAGGGTTTTGTCTCTTAAAGTCTCGGTTTCTCTTGGTCACCGTCCAGTCGGACTTTCAATTCGGACAATACCCACCAGACGGTTCTTTTTGCGGAGGCACTCAGGAAGCGTTGTTGGGCTTTTGGAAAGGACTCAAACCTTATGGTCTTGCTGCAAAAGAAGATTGCAAGCAAGGGTCGAGAAATTGTCGGTTGATGTACATCAGCAACTGTTTTTATATTAGTTTCTATTCAAGACGCACTATTTCCACCTGTCAGGGACGCGCTTTCCCGGACGCGCTGGCCCGGGCTTGGATTCGGGCGGGGGTTGGAATGGGGTTAGATTGGCCCAGTGCCGTGCGATGCCGCGATGCATCGCGATGCCGTGTGCATCGTGGAGATTCATGGACTCGCGGCCTCGCGGATCGCCGCAGGGCACTGTTCCAGGGACTTCCTGATATGGTACATCAAAGCAAGCACCTCCCACAAACTCATGTTCACAATCCCGATCCGTTCTCGATGGCTGGGGATCGGAGACTGTTTTGATATGTTTTGATGACCACATCAAGGGCCTTTGACTTTGCAAGCCGGCTGCAACGGTTACTGTAGATCCATGGCATGGGGGGAATTCTCCACCAGATTGATGAATTAACGAATTGGTTGTCCGCTATGTTGGGCTGATTTGCTACTATCCATCGAGAACCATGTGTTTAATCCTCACAGGTTTGTTTTTGATGTGGCGACCACAGGGTCAAGACCACGTCGTTCTCTTTAGCATGGAAATATCTCCAAGTCCGAAAGCGTACTGCCACTGGGCGGCATTGAGAAGCAAAAACAGGAAGACACACATGTAATTTTTAGTATTTTTTATATGTGATTTGGTTTACAGAAAGCCAATGAAAAGCAAATGGATTGCTTTCTCAGTTCTTTTTTTGCATGGCACAACAAGACAAGAACATTTAAAACATGGGCGGCACCAACACGGCAACTCTTCCTGGGCTCAATCGATCATTTTAGCATTCTCGTCGAGACTGGCGAGACTCTTCACGGAGAACACCATCGGGGGGCACCCAAAAGGGGCGCAGCGCGGCGGAAGCGGGAAGCGGGGGTGAGGATGAGCCCGGTGGGGTCGGTCGAAGCAATGGAACTGGGCTGGAGAAGTTTGGAGGTGATTTGATATGATTAGCTGAGTCAGTAGCAGGTTGGATCCAAGTCTAAGTGAGTTCTTAACAATTAAGTGTTGTCACGTCCAAGGTCTCTTCGAAAATGCCTATACCAATCATCACGAGTCATTGTTCAAAAGTTTTCAAAGTTGTGATCGATCACCTGACTCGGTTCGCTCGCAGCAGTTCGCCGCTGCGTCCAGTAGTTCGAGACCTGACTCGGTTCGCTCGCAGCAGTTCGGCGTGGTAGTCAGAGACTACTGGAATGCAAGCGGCTGTTCTGAAGGATCCCATTTCTAGAAGTGATGGTTCATTTTCACAACTCCCCAACGAATTGAAATCCTTTGAATACAGATTACACATTTCACAACTATATTTACTGATCGATGTGTCATTTCTAGAATGGACCTTTCTGACGAGGCCGTCTACCTCGTCGATGTCCGTTCAACCTTCGGAGACAGCTGTATATCTCCAGATCTCGAGCTGGTTGAAATAGCAAACCCATCTAAACCCCGGAAGAATACTGGGAATGTGCAGTACATTCTGTTTCAATCTCTTTCATCCAAACCCCAGGAGAAGAAAACAAAACAAAGAACATGGCCCGATGAACCGGAGGACGGTGGACACCGACCGTCGCCCCCTTCCCTTGGTGGGTCCGGTCGCAAGTCGGGTGCCGCTGGTTCGAAGACCACGGACGGAACCAGCATGCAAAATAAACAGGTTGCAATCTATCTATCTATATATATATATACTTGCCCCCACTCCCCACTCATCCCCACTCATCCCCTATCAAAGAAAACCAATTTTTTCAGCCCTTCTCCATCAGCCAAGCATATTCAGATCCGCTCCGCTCCGCTCCATGCGGCGGAGCCTCCCTTTCTTCGCCTTCTGCGGGAGCCTGGCCTTCTGCGGCTCACGGCCCGTGCCGACCGGTCGTGGACCGTGGTCCCGGGGCGCACGGATGGAGCGCTTGGAGCGATTGGACCAACGTGTGGAGCTCAGCGGATGGAGCGACACCCGACAGCGACGGATGGAGCGACCGACCGGATGACGTGGGTGTTCAGCTCTTCATGGAGCAAAGACATTCGATTTGCTCAAATCTGAGAGTTCCATGGAGAATCCAGTCACATGCACTACTGTACTTGTCAGCTATATATGGAGATTTTGGGGGGTTTGCGTTTTTTCCTATTGATGTTCTGGCTGGAAAATCCAGAGCAAGCAGCCAGAAACACACGTCTCGGTTTGGTGGGGTTCGCTCTTCAGTGCAACAACCAACTTGTTTTGCACACGCTGCTCAGGCCTGAGTCGGCCGGTCTTTCAGATGAAGCTCCCCGAGGCTTTGACTGCAGGTCTACTGTAAAGACTATAGAGGTAAGTGACAGTACATTTGGAGGGTGATGATCCAAGGCAAGGGCAACTGTTTGATGGATACAAACCCTGAGAAGGTGTGTTTTTGTTTTTTTTAGGTGGCTTTGGAGGGTCTACTTACCTACTGAGGAGCGTGGCAGAGCGCCGTTTGGAGCCCCTGGGGTTGTAAGTAAGAAGGAATTCACACAATCAAGTCTCTGAATGGTGGAGTGGAGTTGATGAACTCCAGCTTGCTATGAATTATACTTGTCGCCTTCAACATTGTCCACTTGTTGCGAGCCTATGCCAACTCCTTGCTTGGACTGTTTGTCGTCCTTCTCCGAGAGCTGTCATGCGAAGATTGGATCTACTTATATCACATCATCCAGCGCCCGTGAGAAGTGGCAAAAGTCAAACTATACCAATCAACATTACATTGAATGTTATAAAGCACTTAATACAGCCATACCAAGCAGTGAAAGAATGCAGGCCCTTGAGCCTCTGGGGTTGCCACCTCTGGATGAGGATTGGCTGGAGCTTTTGCTCTCCGTTCCTGGTGCTTTCATGGGCCTCTGGGTTGCACGACAAAACGAACCGTTGCATGGGCCTCAGGTCATGTGTGCACACGCAAGGGGAAGAAGAACCGACGGAACACCCGCGTGGATCGTATTTGTTTCCTTGATCTCGATCCCAAGCCAGTCATCTCCATCCACATGAAAACATATCCAAACTAGTTCCAAAAGCAACCCACAAAGCAATCCACAAAGCAATCCCTGCAGGTGACCCTCCACCCTCCACTCGCCTTCAGGGACCGAGTCGAAGAGCTCCCGAGGCTTTCCTCACGCCTTTTTCGGCCCCACGCCCCTCCTGTTGGCTGCTTTAGCCACGCAGACGCTGGCCGCCTGGGTGGCCTGTGTGGCCTTGCTGGCTTTCGGCTTAGGCACGGGAAGTGAGGTTTTTGCGGCTCAACTTGGGCTCTTTGGTTTGAGGAAGTTGGAACTGTCATAGTGACCTAAAGAATCTTCACAGATCTAAATTTTTAGGAGTTTCCAGAAACTTCTGCATGTTGAACCAGCTACAGTGATGGTGAGTGATTGTTCTGTGCTCGTTTCATCTTCTCTTTCAATCAATCTCACCGATGCTTGGCCCGGTCGACCCCAGAGGCAGCTTCTATGGCGGTCTGGCCGGCTGGGGCGACTTCACCAAACTCACCAAGTCGTCTGGACGCATGGCCGTCGGAGAGCGCCGAACCGACGAGTGGGGCAAGGGCGGCATAAATTCCGCGCCGAGCCGGACATGGGGTGCAACAATTAATCACCTACCCAGCAGCTGGTGGTGTTTGTGTTATTTGGTATTTGCTTTCACGTTTCGTATCAGCTTCAGGTCAGAGGTCGCTGTCTTCCATGCACATACACCCACCTGGTGGCATGGTGGGCTTACGTTGTCCAAAGCTGCAAGCATTTGACATGGAACCTTTGCCTCCAAAGGATGAGTTCTACCAGTTACCAGTGAGGACCTCCGAAGCATGGGACACATCCCAAGTGTGGTCTGAAGCCCTTCACCCTTGGCACATCAGGTCCAACATCAGGAACACCAGTTTAGTGGAATGGCAACTGGAAGATCTTCCGCACTGAAGAGTCTGGTTGAGACATGTTGAGTCAGTATGATAAGATCTAACATCATGCAACCATGTTTTTTGGAGATTCATTCAGTGACTGATCATGTAGAATGTTGATGAATTGAAACCACATGAAGAGGGTTGTTGCGCTCCAAATTTGGTGTGGTTCAACTCAAGAGTCTACATTAAGAGACTGATCAGTGACTACATGTGATCGGAACCCACCAGGCTGGTGATCTTCTTGATGCCCAGTCTTTGCCGCTTGGACGAGTGTCTTGAGTCGTTTGGGAGTGGGAGTACAGTCGAAGTGTTAGGGATACCCGGGTAGATTTGGGTAGGTCAAACGAAAACATCAAAGATTTGCCAAAGATGTTGAGCCAAGATTTTTCTCCAAACAACTATGTTGTGACTGTGGTGGTTCTATTGTGTTCAATTAACTTTCAAAGAATGGGGCCCAAGAAGGCCCGTATTGTATGCAATTGAAAGACCCAAAAATATAGCCAAGCTCTCGTGTGTGAGTACAAGCGCCGCGCAGGCAAGTGGATTTGTCAAAGAATTCCTTTGTGTGTTGCTTCTATCAGATCTTCACCGCTTGAGTCCCGTCCAGTCCCGCCCATCTCGATCGAACGGAGTCCATGCCGAGTCCATACGCGTGGACGCAAGGTTGCAAAACTGATAAAAATACAGGGGAACAAACTCACACGCCTGGGAGGGTTGTTTTTTCTCCCAGGTTTACAGTAATTATTGTGTGTTTTTTTGTTTTTGCGTGTTCGAAGTCAGCCATGTTGCATAGCTCGTGCCCGACTACGAGCTGCAACGGACACCGAATGTGTCCTAAGTCAGACAGGGTGCAAGTTGCAGTGTTCAATGTTTTTGGTACGGTCACCATTTCGCTGCAGCAACGGACGCAAAAAAACAAGCAGTGATTTTAGCAAGCTATGCAAATCCTGAAGTGTGTTGGTATGTTTCATCGAGGATAGGTCCGGTGTGGATCTTCGCCTTAAAGGACGGCTCGACCTGTTTGTTTGCTTCTATCCTCCATGTGTTCGAGACATGTTGGACATACAGACATTGCCATGGAGGTTCACAGCGTAAGTTGATCCCAGCTGTCTCCCGGTACAATTGAATTAAGGACAAACATTGTATGAAATCGATCGCTTCAGTTTGCTGATGAAAAATGCTTCATGCCAGCAAAAGGGTGGTTCCTGAGTTCCTGCAGGATCCTGCAGAGACAATAGATCGTCAAGGGTGTTGATAAACTATCCTTGCCGTGGTGCTGATATATGAAGATGAATCTGCGCACTGTTTGACGGCCAGTCGTTTGCACTCTCGCATGTCCATATCAGTGAATGAGACCCCAGCAGGTGGAATCCAGAATCGTGTGATGTTTTGCCACATGTCCAAGCCAGTTTCTTCAACGCTGAACCATGTTTGAATATGTTTGACAATGTTTGACATCTTTGCTGTTCATGTGTTCATTTCTTTCTTTTTCCCGCCAGGCCAGTCATATCCAATCATGTTTCTGTCTCCAGATGGTTCCGGTAATCCACTTCTCATCTTCCTAAGGTGTATATTTGTCCTCCCACTTGCCGCCTCCCGGCCCTGCCATCAGCACCATCAGCCTGATCTGCGCTGCGCTCTGCGTCGCTTGTGCCGTGCCTTTGAAGGCGTTGAGCGACCGACGGCGGCCGGCCGTGCGCTGGGGCCAAGAAGCCCAGCGCGCCACGTTGTTGGCACCGTACATCAAGGTGAGCGGCCTGGGCGGGGGGGTGGAAAAGGGCGAAAAGGACCGAAAAATGGGCGGAAGGGAGACGGCAGATGTTTCAAATATGTATTTGTTTGAGACATAATTTAGTCTGTTTTCTTTGGAGGGGAGGGGGGAAGGGCATAATATAATATTGGACCCTTTGAGGAGCAGGTTCTATCAAGAGGGAACAGCTCAATGGAGCAATGAGTTCAGAAAAACCAGAGGTCTGTTTGGACTGCAGGTTGTTTACTACTCTTTGACCAGATGACCTGTGTTTGTTCACCACAGTGAGATGCTTGGACTACGTGGCCAGGCCATGTGCAAGGGTGGTCAAAGTCGAGAAGCCTGGCCTTCCTCAGATGCTGCGGTGATGGCAGCCAATGCTTCTGGGCGGAGTCAGATGCAGTCAAAACTTCGAAACCAAAAGAGAAAGAGCTTGGTATACCATGACAAGGCCACCAAAGAAAAGGTGCAAAGCTTAGTATACAAAGATTTGATGCTGAGACTGTTAGCAAGCCTGCTTTCAAAAAAAGTTAGCATGAAACAGCTATGTCTCATGTTTGAACTCACCACAATTTGCAGGGTGTTTGGTGCTCCCACACGGGTGTGGTGTGAACTTGAACAGGTCAGGTGGAAGGAAGAAACAGCATGAACCAACATCTCCAGCTTGATGGTTGAGGACCTTGAGGAGTTCGCCAGTTTTATCATCTGAATAGTTGGCCATGGCATCGCAAAGCTAATTACATCAAATTACGACATTGTTTATTTGGTTACTTTTCCAAAAAAAACAGGCAACCATTTAAACCATTTCATTCATGCCATCCAATCACCGAGGCAATCCTCCTTTGGAACGTCCTGAAAACCTCCAGTCTCTCCTCGTCCCTCGCGGTGGCGCTGAGCGTCAGCGTCTTTGCCTTGGCGTGCTTCGGACGGATGTACTTCTGGGCTCACCATCTCTTCGATGTCCTCTCGGGAGGCGCGGGAGGCGGTCCCAGCCCCATGCGACACGTGATTGCCGTGGCAAGGAGCCTTTGACCTGAATGTTGGTACTTTGACATGGAGAAAGGTTAATTCTGTGGAGAAATTTGGAGGAGGCTTCTGACATCGAAGACATCTTAAGACTTAAGCACTTGGACATCCCATATGTTTTCATGGTCTGCAGATTCACGCAGATAGACTTGCGTTTTCGGATTTCAGCAAGCTTATGGCTTATGGAGTGCATTTGGATACTCAATCCTTTCAAGTAGCGCTCAATATGAAACCAACCATGTTCTATGCCGAAACTGGTTGCCGCTGTCAGATTTTATGATGATGTGGGGATTGAGTACGGAAAACCATTTGCAAAATTTGATTTAGAAGACTTGAAGTCTGGAGATCTGTCATTGTCATTCACTGTCTAAGTACTTGGCCATGAGTTTTGTTGATAGAATCTTCCTGTTTGACACCTTTGCCCGGCCTGTGCCCGGCAGCCTTTGCCCAGCCTTTGCCCCGTTGCTCCATCAAGGCCTGCTGGGCAGCTTGATCGTGCTTGGTGCGCTGCACTTCCGTGGCTCGATGCTGATTGGGTTGGGCCAGTAACTCCAAAAAACTCCACAATGGATCGAACAAGCACTGTCTGTTTGGGGGGGGAACCTATATAATGTACTTCCATTTGCTGTAGCAACAGCTCGATCCTAAGCTGCTTTCAATGTCATTCTGGGAACACGTTCCCTTCAAGATCCGGAAAATTACCAACCTTGAACGGGACGATTCGTAGGATCCGACTTCGCTTGACAAAGCCAGGGGCATGATAATCGATTAGCATCCGACTCAGCCACTAATTACTGGAATATACTGGAACTAGAATGGTGATCAGGAAGGCAGAACAAATGATTTGCCCAGCTTCGGAGCGGGTCGTGGGCGCTGTTCAGATGTTCATGTTCTCTATACCTCCAGTCAAAAAATAATTGAGACTGATATAGACTGATCCACTTTGGGTGATTAAAGCGGTAACCGTTTTCATGTAGATTGTCCAGTCCCTTGGATTGTTTGGTGCATACTTCCGGGGCACAGGCACAGCATCGTTCAGTGTTCCACAGAGGGCCGGCCCTGGCAGGGATTCCAGTGCAAGAATTGTGACTCACACACAGGGGAGGCATGAAAGCTCTTTTGTATAGACAACAGAGAGGTCTGCGAATGATCCCAGGTTGGTGTTCCAGCTGGCATTTTCTGCTCTCCTTTGTGCTCTTCCTCCTTTCGGTGGCCTTCATGCAAAAGCGCACACGGATCTTCGACCAACCTAGTGAGACGAAGGTGTGAGCGAGCAGAAAAAGGCACAGCAGAAGGCGTTGCTCTTCGCGCGTCCTGCAGTGCCACCAGTGGCGAACGAGCGGCTTGTTTGGAGCTGTTTTTTGTGCTACACCCATGGCTACCGTGGCCCATATTAGACCGGTGATATCCGAAGCCTGAAGCCAGACACGGCCCGATTCCACCTGAGATCCACCCGATTCCACCCACATAGATGTTACAATGATTATTATATATATATATTATATGATGTAGTTATGATGTATAATATTAACACGCACTAGCCTTTTACTGGAAGTTATGCACGATTTTATGGAAGTTGTGCAGACCTACACAGCACAAAAGGCGGACAAAGATGTTCCTCATTGGGATCCTTTGAATCCATTTGAGACATCTCCTGGTCCTTCTTCCTCCGCGCTCCCGCCGCGCAGCTCCAGGACATTGAAGCTCGATGCCTACGCCGTCAGTGCAGGCCGGGAGCTTAGCGGTGCGTCCGAGCGAACAGCGGCGCAGCCGAGTTCATCCATCTCTGAAGAGCGGGATGGCATTCTTCTACAGAGTGAAGAAGGTGCCCCCTTGCGGGGACTTAGATGGTGATATGGACCCCTTTGGCTCTATGTTGGTAGTACAACTCTTTAACCGTTACGGAAAACGACAGCTTCTCAGGCACCTGAGAGCATGTCTCTCAGGCACCTGGATACCGGATCAACGACAGACCCGCGCGCCCACCCACTGGCATTACAGTGTATTTCCATTACATTCTATTTCCGTAGCCTATAGTCTCTTATTTAGTAAATTGCTTCGGAAGCAGCTTTTGCTACCCTGCTTTGCGGATACCTGACAAATCCGTAGATTATTATCCAAGAGTCACATGGTTTGGCAGAAGACCCCTGTTTGTAGATGAAAGTCGTCTTCTATGAAAGGTGCCACTTTACACTTCATGATAGTTGGAGAGGTGCAAACTCTATTTTTCCACACATGCACGCTGAAGTGCTCGTTTGGGCTGATGTCAATTGACCATGGGAATCTACGAAAGATGTGGCGGATGGCAACTGTTTAGTTGTTCCAACCTAAACCAGGACAGGACGTTGGACAGATCACACCGCACCTTGTTTTGGGCAGTGGTTCAAAAAAAGCACTCTCAAAAATTCACCAGGTGGACATAAATCCTAATGTACATTAGCAATTGGGCACTTCTTTGTTTTTGTCTATCTGTTAAATTCACTGAAAGACAGTGTTTGACCAGTGTTTTGTTTCCCGCCACGAGCTAGGCTTGGGTGCTTGTGCCAAAGCTGCACGGTGGCAGGCGGGGAGAGGAGGAGTCACCGTGGTCTAACTAATTGGCTCCAACTGAACGTTTTTTCTGCGCAGGAAACCACCACAAAGACTCCCAAAAAGTAAACTAGCACGTCGGAAGCACAACATCGACATGTTCACACAGCAGCTTATCCGGATTAAATGCACTCAAAGATCAAGCTCAGAAGGCCACACACATTGATTGTTTGGAGCTTAGACTTTACTTGATATTTTCTCCTTGGCCTGATGGGCTGTAACACTTGTCATCCTGAACGAAGGTCACAGCCAAGAATCCCAGCACACTAGGTTTGGCTGGAAAACACAACTATTTGTTATGTTTGATTCTCAGTCCATAGTACCAGTTCCTTTCTGATTTCAAGCAAAACAACCAAACCAGACAAGCCCCAAAGCGTCTCGTCTCACTTCCCACCCGGACTGCAGGAGACGTTGTTGCTGTTGGACTATTTGAACACGTTCAAGCTTGGACTGTGCGGCCGCCAAGATGCTCCACTGGTCGCGAGCCAACGGGCTAGCAGCTAGGAGCCACTGGGACAGTCAGATAATGTCATATATTTACAATTAATTACTTGTTGGGTTTGCTGTTGAATGAAGGTCACTGGAGTGTTGCCTCATTTTTGACCTTTGACTTTTCCACCCAGAGTCAGAATCCCAGAGGGAGCAAGTCTTGAAGGAGCAAGCAGGCGAGTGTCCTACAAGAAGAATCGATACCAAGCACGGAGCCTTGCTGAAGAGAACGAATACTAGCTTTAAACCCTGAACATGGACTAGCCAAATGAGGCAGCCAACCAGCCTGCACAAACAAGGAAGAACCAGTTTCCAGGGTGTTATGACGTGTTACCTCATGTCATGAGTCCCAATTCACTATAGGCCCGACGGCTTGAGTGAGTTCACCTTCAAATCCATACATGCTATATCATGCTATAGCATGGTTGCTTCACATCCACTACGACCGGGTAACTATTGGTTTGTTATCGACTCCCCAACCATCTCACTTCAGTCGACGAGTCTTTTTCTGCATCGACGAGTCTTCCTTGAAACACCACATCGAGAGACTGTTTCTTCTCGCCGGCCGGCGGCCACGGCGGCCACGGGTTTCCCTCCGGTTTCTTCTCACCAAACCTTCGGAACCAAACAGCGACCGTCCAGCTCCACAGAGAACCGTCCAAAACGTCCACGTCGACCGTCCAGGGTCGACCCCTCAGCGACGCACCCAGGCCCAACAGCGTCGGCCAAAGCGCGGCCGTCAGCGCCTTGGAGCGACGGAGCCTGTGGGCGGAGGCGAACAGCGTTGGAAAGCTGAGCCCGGCAGCGTGAAGCTGAGCCGGTGGCGCGGTTCACGTGGGAAGGAAACAGTTGTTTTTGTTGTTTTTTTTCGTAAAAGAACAATTATACACAGACATGTCGACATAGACATGTCCCGACTTCGGTCTTCTTTAGGGGAATCAAAGCAATAGTAAACCTGTTCAGAGCAAAGTCAACTATGGGAATCAACTCTTGACATCGATTTCACAAGTATTGGAACACGAGCAACACAGACAACAAACATGACATACCAGTTACTTCCAGATCTCCTGTGGCGCCAAGAGAGAACATAGACACCACTTTGGGTGTGGTGAACCTTGACGAATCATGCAACAAATAAACTTTAACATGGAAAGATTAAGGTCAAAAAGTCGCGACTTTAAAAAGAGGAATGAACAAGAACCAACAAAAACGACTGACACTTGACATCACTTGACTGTTTGTGAGATGACATTCGACCATGGTCGACCGAGCGACTGCCAGGCGTTGAAGCTCTTCGGCGACTTTCGCCGGAGCAAGGCGACGTGTGGCGAGTTGGGGTTCCACCGCAGCGGTGACGCCAGGGACGGATCTTTCGTCGGAAGACGCGTGGCACGACGGTGGCACGCGATTTGAACTCCTAGCTGAGTGGATCTGCAACTTGCAGGTGTACCGGGCAGAATCTTCCGAGATGATCCAACATTCTATCAGACTTGAGCGGAGATGATTTTCTTCGATACAGGTTTTTGTTTGAGATGCCGGGTGCAAGCTACTTGAGGGCGAATTAGTTTGGAGTGCTGGAAGAACACAGTTCGCAAGACCGCTTATCAATTATTAAGCAGTTTCTTTATTTGTCAGGAATGCCATTCTACCAATGCCTGCTGCTCAAACCGACTCTTACCATGGATGTTAGCTGACCTCCTCAACCGAGCAACGCTCATGTTACTGAGCGGTTGAATTTGAAGCGAAGTGGCAGCACGAATAGTGCAAACATGTGCAAACCGGAACATTTCCAGCCTTGTGAGGGCAGAGCTTTGGCTCGAGCAGGTCCAACCAACGAGCGACCACATTCCGCACCGCGACTTCTGGGCCTGGTGCATTCACAGCCGTTCACGGATGATTATGCTGATGTGTTTCATTTGAGCTAGCAAAACCTGGCCCCTTCAAAGGGCACCGTGATTGCCTGTGAAGAGAAACATATCCCTTACGGTGTCTTCCCAAAGGCGAAGGAAACCGGCAAAATGTGTGGCGGCAAGGTGGGAATTGTTAGGCGTCCAAACAGCATGACAGCATTTCCCTGTCCATAGGGTTTTTACAACTAACACAGCTTTGCAACCCCCTTTCCCGACGAAATGCCTTTTGGCCCCAAAAAAGCTGGCCGTTTGAATATCCAGGTATAAAGCACACCAACCCTCCTTAGCCAATGTTAGCTGCAAAATGCTGCAAACATTTGGACACATTTGGTTATTCGGTCAATGATGTTTAATCTATAGCTTGCTGCATGTAGACCTAAAACATGTCAAGGATTCAAGTTTTTTTTAGAACGATCATGATGATGGTGGTGTTCATGACGATCGTGACCAGCAGCATAGCAGCGGATTCATGTTGCCACGCTCCAGGCGGCAGTTGATGCACGCAGCTACGGATCTGCCTTAAGCTCCTGTGCTACTGGCCTGGAAGCTTGTGTCAGCGTCGCTGGGAGCAGGTGGGCGGAGAGCAGTTGGAGAGCTGGCATCATAGATGGTACGGAGTGACTGGCAGTGGCTGTTTCTGCAGGGTGTCAGCAGCCAGGTAGTTGTAGTCCGCAAACAAATGAGAGCTTCATGTTCTCCCTATAAACTATAAACTTAGAGCGGGCTGGGCGGATTGGCTGTGGTGGGATGATGTGGGAGAACTCCTAGCTCAATATCAGGGAGTCATCGAAGACGCTGCTCAATGTATACATCATAATTATCCTCAAGTGGACAAGTACAACGGTTACTGGCAAAACCATTTGACAAATTCTGAATGGTTCCGCCTCTAAAGGGTTGATGGAGAGAGAAATATATAGCAGCCCAATTTGCCCAATGATTTGGTTTAGAGTTCTTTGTTTGACATGATGGCCCCAAAAAATCCTACCACCAGTAGTACAGTCAAGCGGTTCTTCTCCCGATGTAGAGAACAACTCTGTGCCACAAGGAACTGCCACGTGACTTTGTTGGCTTGGTTGGTCCGCGAGTCCTGCACGTGCGTATCCACGGGATCAAGACCTGGGTCGTCCACTCAGTTGGAGAAGAATTCCAGTCTATGGAAAGCTACGGTAAAATAAACAACTATAATCCTGGCACCGAAACCACCCACCAGTGACGTCCACCAATGGTCCACCGGTCCACGAGTTTCCACGTTTGTTCCCATGTCGGTGTCCAGTATAACCACCATGTGGCCCTGAAAGCTTCTGGATCTCCGATCGGCCGTGGCCACCTGAGGCATTCAGTGGATGATGGCTTACCACCTTTGGCACGAGCTGAATCAGGACCGATGAAGTCCGGGTTCGTTCGTTCGTCCGATGAAGTGCGGTTGGTCGCGAGTAGTCAGTCGTCCCTCGTCCGGTCGTTCGGTGGAGTCGCCTTTTCAAAAGAATGATGGATGATGGTAACTGATGGTACTTTTGCGCAAACAACCCCCCCCAAAAGTTCAGACAACTGTGACAACCCCACAAGTCCACAAGTCTTGATGAATTTGACTCTTCACTTGGGACTTCAGCTGCGGTGTTTTTGTCTGTAAACTGGCAGTGTATAGATGTTATACTGTAGATGTTTATACCCACCCACCCCACTCAAGTCCAAGCGGTATGTTTATAGTAATTATAATGACATACTGTATCTAGCAGGTGGATCTTGGGAGGCTTCCAACTGGACGATCACATTGGCGATCTGGGCAAGGAGAAACCGAAGAAGGTGGACTCCCGGCTTTCTTCGGCCGATCGTTTTGGTGCCCATATATGCATTTTTGGGTCAACCCGTCAACCCGTGTCCTCATAGCTTTGCGGATGACCTTTGTCCTATTCAGATTCATTGAATTGCATGAACGGCAGTTGCATGAGGAGCACCCTACAGGTTCATGGAACATCATGGAACATGATGATTCATCGATCGGGCACAGGCCACAGTTGGTACGTCTACTTCTGCCTCGATGATGGTCTGCGCGGAGCTGATCAGATAACCGGTCAACGTTCACGGCCATAAGTCCAAAAAGCTCCTGTAAACGATGAGTGGGCCCAAACTGACTATCCTACTTTACACATGCATGTGGTGTGTTGTCAAACTAGTCGGTGTATGCACAACTGCCGCTTGCGTTACGTTGACCCTTACAGCAACCAATGGCAATTCAGTACAGATACATCTTCACTTTCACCTTCACCTTCTTCCTTTTCTTCTTCTTCTATCTCGCCCCTCGCTGAGGCCGGAACGCCACCTTAGGAGCCCTGGCCAACAGTGCACGTATCTCGGCCGGACCTGTGCAGGGGCACAGGACTAACCAGGACTGACCTTCCGTTGTTTAGTTATAGCTTTGTGCTTTGTGGGACTAACTTATAATAGGTCCCTGTTTTGGGGAAGCACTCTTTTACTCGGTGTCATCAGTTTTTTCCAGGCTCATCATAACTTTCTTTGGAAGGGGCCTTTCAAGAACCTTGGGTGCCCAGGGTGGGCGGATCAATTCATGGATTTCATGGATCTTTTCCTTGAGTCAAGCTCGTCGGGAATTACTGCTGCTAATTGCTTCTAACCGAACCAATGGGTGGGAAGTGCATTCAAACCTTTCAACACATGAGAGGTGTTGCCATTTATTATATGCATGATTTTGAGAAGTCAATGGCTTTTAAATGGTACCGGTACCGTGCTTTGTTTGGCTCCCGAAATTATCTCCAAATAGCCAAGGCCCCCAGACATTTACATCCCGCTGCGCTGGAGCAATGTTTTTAAGAGGTGCTAACAGGAGCAACGGGGTCAAACAATCAATGTGTTTCACCAACTTCGAGTGACGTTTCTGCGAATCGCCCACCTATTCATCTTAAGTCATAAGTCTTGAACCCAGATGCCAGATGCCCTCCAAGAATCCTCTCATTCCCCACTTCCGTTGGGGCTGTCCAGGCTGGCGCTCGGCCCTGCAGTTCTTTGCCTCGGCGGCGACGCAGCGCCTCACCGACGCCGTGACGCAAGGCAGCGGTCGCTGCTCATGTTTCGCGCGCGCCAGCCGTTTCCGCGGCAAAACAGTGACGGGAAGTGGGACTAACTCCCTTTTTGGGCGGAGAGTTTTGCTCATCATTGAGAGGAGACCCTTATGCCCTTGTGACTTTGGTAGTGTCATGGTTTTGGAAGAAAGATGACGTGGAGGCTTCCAACCAGAAATATTAAAATGGTTGGGGCCCTTATATCAGGACCCACTTGATCGACACCATGGTGGGGGTCAGAGGATCGTCGCAGTGCTTTGCCCAGCTTCAAGTAGTAGCGGAGCATTGAATTTCCCTATCGAGGCGGAGCATTAGGAGAGCCTTCTTCCTTACAGACAGGCCCTGGTACGCGGTAAGGTCTATTAAGGTCTTTTACAATGATTCTGTTTGAAGCTCTGAAGAGGGTCCACTCTGGGGGCGAAGCTGGGGAATGGGATTCATCAGGTGCGAAAGGGCTAACAGAAGTCTCAAAGTGCTGCGGGGCTTATTTTTAGGCGCTTTCAAAAGAGCACCCTAAGGTCTTACAAGCTGAGTGTGTAAGGGACATTGAACCATGGGCCGGACCAACCATGGGCATGCAAAGCATGTGTGCTGATCTTGTGGGACGATTTTTCCAAAATCTTAAAAACATTCCACACAACTGTTCCAATACGCATTGCACATAGGTGCTGCAATCGCGAAGGGCAAGGGCCTTACAGAAACCAAGAGTCTCACCAGTCAAATCGCCCGCAGACCCTTCGAATTGCTCTTTAAATGCGAAAGCGTGTCGCTAGGGCCAATTAATTACAGGTGGCAAGCATGAATGGCTGCTCACGTCTTCACACTCTCGCAGGCTTTGCTTGTCAGGCACAGCAAGAACTACTGGCGTCCAACAATGCACTTGTGAGAGGCCTAAAGGCTCATGTGGCCAAGGACTTGCGTATGACAAGAGTGGCCTGCTGTTACTTGCAGGGACTGATGTCCAGCCTAGGTGCTGCTTAAGATAGCCGGGAAACAGAAAAGCTGCTCTACTGGACTTCTTCTTTTGCAGTGTCGACATGTTGGCGCGCAGAAGCAGCAGCAGAACATGAAAACGCCCACCCTCAGTCCCGCCACACTCAGTAGAGTTGGGCACGGCATGTTCACTCAACCATGTCCTGCTCGATTACATAGCTGTAACTCATGAGTATCTTTTATGACAATATGCATATGCACATAAAGACCAAGTTCTTAAGTCGACCCTGACATCCAGCTTTACTACCATGAATGATTGAAAGTGTCAAAAAAATCAGAGTGCCTTCAAGGCCACACCTCGAGATGTTCATTGCAAGCAAAAATTATTGTTTTACGCTTGTCATGTTCAGGTGCCGTTGTCGCTGCTTGCCAGACGGCGTCACGTTGGGCAGAGGCGTTGCTTGGGCACTGTGCCCTCGTGTGAACAGATTGCACAGACACCGCTTCAAAAATGTTTACACATTTGTCGCATTGTTCTTTGCAGGCCTCCGACCTCGGTTCCCTCACGTTAAATTGTTGCATGTTCGCTCAGAACCATGTTTAATGAAGACCTTTGAGGTGATGGTGCCCAGTTCCAGGCACACATCTAGGAGTAAACAACAAGGTGTTCCTGTTGTGGAAACATATTCTCACCGAAGTTTGTTTTGTAGTTATTCTCCACCTGGCGTTCAAATTTTAACAAAATTACCTCCGCCTCCTCCTTCCTTCCTCTCCCTTCCCTTACTTCTCCTGCTGCCATGTCCTCATGTCCTTCTGCTCAGCGCCGTGCAAGAGCCTGCGCACTATAGAGCGCCATGTCACTGGGCACGATCAGACCTGCCCATGAAGGAGAGCGCCAGGTCAGTCTGGGAACGTACGGACCTGAACACGATTGAGAGCGCCCGGTCAGTCTGGGCACGCACGGACCTGCACACCATCGAAGCTGGGCAGGCACGAAGATATGCCAGATAGAATGCCGGAATGGTCACAATATATGCCAGAAGATGTGCCAGAAAGGATGTATGTAGACATGCGAGAGAGGATGGCAGGTAGAATACCAGAAAGGATGTCAGAACATATGCCAGAAGGATAGCAGAAGACATGCCAGTGAGAATGCCGGAAAGGACTTCAAAAAGTGTTTCAGATAGAACGCCGCATATATATATATATATATTATAGTGTCCGAACATATGTCGGAGCAGGTGGCAGGATCGATGGTAGAGCAAGTGTCCGAATACACGGCAAAACGGATGTCCGAACACATACAGTATCAGAAACCAGTTGAGGTCATATGCCACCACACAGACCACACATGTCAGACTCACACGGCAGGACAAATGTCAGAACACAGGCCAGACTTGATGCAATTGTATATGCAATTGTCAGATCACTTCACATGCCAGGCAACATTTTTTCACAAGATGGCCTGTTCTTCCAAATCGCCTCTCAGGGTGGGGATCGTTCGAAAGTATTTTTTGTTGTTCTAGAAACCCGTTTTGTTTGAACCCCGTAATTTGCGCTTGCTAGGAAAGGTGGAAGTGGCCCTCTGTTTGATGTAGAAACTGTTCGTTTAACTGAACGTTTTTCTTGGAGTGGTTGGGTATGTTTGGGAATGGTGTCCGGGCGCCAATTGGCAGGCAGTGGCGCTTGTGAGCAAAAGTTGGGGCCTGAGCAACGTTCCAGAGGAAAATGATGTCACCTCCTGTTTGTTCTTCTCGACCACGGCATCCCATCAGAATGGGAAGGGTGGCCACTTGGAAAACAATGTGTTTGACATGGTCAACGCTCACTTTGCCAAAGTGACCACTAAAGCTATCGAAATGATATTTTTCCGTGTTGTTTCTTTAACCCCATCCCTTTTCACCAAATTGGACGCATTTTGCACGTGCACATGTGGCAGGTATTCTACACATGTTGCGCTATGCGATTCCTTTGGATGTTGCTTTGCTTATCATTTTACCGACCACAAATATCATACACGTGTTGAATTATACCGTTTGACCATTACACGTCCTGAATTATGCATATATCGAGCACTTTGTTTGGTCAGTTCATGTCCCACATCACCGCATTTCATCTTGTATCACTTTGTGGCAACCAAAACAAAAGAAACACTACCAATGGATACTTGGGATCATCGGGTATTGGTAAAAGAAAGGTTTGGGTTGAACAGTCACACAGTTGGAACTTGAGTTCAGCCCTCAGCATGCAGACACTACTCCATGCCAAGATCATATTTTCCAGAGGTGTCAATTGGTATTGTTTGTTGTTTTGTGACTGTGTATGCTTTGCTTTTGCCAAAGTATTTGCAAACTGAGGGTTAAAAACAATTACTTTACTTCGAGTGATCCCCACCATGACATTTCAAAACAGCCACGTTCAGCCCAATCTGCTTAGTGTCGAAGGCAATGCAAATGTCAGAAAAACAGGTCGTTCGTTCATTCATTCATTCACTCATTAAATCATAGTAGTCATAGTAGTAGTAGTAGTAGCAGCAGTAGTAGTAGTAGTGGTAGTAGTAGTGGTAGTAGAAGTGGTGGTAGTGGTCAGTAGTAGTAGTAGTAGTAGTAGTAGTAGTAGTAGTAGTAGTAGTCGTAGTCGTAGTCGTAGTAGTAGTGGTGCTGGTGGTAGTAGTAGTAATAGTAGTGGTAGTAGTAGTAGTCGTCGTCGGTCAAAGTCGTAGTGGTAGGGGTGGTGGTAGTAGTAGTAGTAGTAGTCGTGGTGGTGGTGGTAGTAGTAGTCGTAGTAGTAGTAGTACTAGGTGGCTGTGGCTACTTGTTGAAGTTAAAACTTAGGTTATAAGTTTTATAACCTAGGTTTTAAGTTCAATAAGTATGTTAAGTATTCGCCTCTACTTATAACTAATTTGGTGATCTTATAACTAACTTATTGGACTTATGCTTTCTACTTAGTTCCTACTTAAGGTTAACTTAGGTTCGAATTAGGTTGAACTTAAGACCGATTTTTTTGAACTTTTTGACTTGATTATGTTTTGCAATTTATATGGCTCAAGGGACCCGTTGCACGCCTATATATGAACGGCGAAAGGTGAGATAGGTTTTGTCCGTTCGAACTATGGCCAATCTGCAGGTCTGTCAAATCCTTCAAGTCTTGGTGGACAGACTTGATGGGGCGACAGGACACTTGCGAACGGAGCAGGTACAAGGCATTTGTGCCTGCACAAAGTGGATGAGGTCTGAACTTGTTTGAACTTTTCTGAACTTTTCTTGGTGGAATTATTTTCTGAACTTCGAAAGGATGAGGGTCGCGGCCGAGCTATCCATATCCACATCGGATAGATCGGCGTAGCTGTACTGCGCAAACAGACCTCTTTCCATGGCCAGGGCACAAAAATAAGTGCGTGCTCCGGAGGGTTGGGGGAATGTAGGCGGAATGTAGGCGAGGAATCTAGAAAATCAAGCTTTTTAGATGTAGGCGCAACTAAAGTAAACATACAGACAATGTAGGCGAAATGTAGGCGAATGTAGGCGGAGCAAACGCAAGCGCAGCTTCTGGTGGCTTTTTTGAGTTGCTTTGTTCCGCAGCACGGGAGCAAGCAAGCACAAAATGTCATTTGGTCTCAAGGAGACTGCGCGTGGCAGATGTGTTGCTTTGGGAAGGTGAGTCAGCTGGCCAGATTGAGAACATTGTGGAAGGTGACTCTACCGCTATACACCTGGAACTCACAATGCTTGAATATGTTTCCTCCTTACCTTATGGCAGTCTGTGGCACAGACTGCATTGCAGATCTTGGTATAAACCCAAGATCAACAGCACATATTGCGTAGCAATGTGGTGGCGCTGGGATGATGACAAGAATCTCCTCCTATGTTTGCACTGAAGACGTTTCGCGAGTCGAAAAAAGAGAGTTCTTGCGTCAAATAAACGAATCAAAAAACATGTGATTGAAAAAACCCAGGCCTACTTAAGTCCTACTTATAACCTAGGTTTTAACTCCTACAAGTCCACTTATGCATAAGTTCGATAACTAAGTTATAACATCTACAAGTTAGTTACAAATAGCCACAGCCACCTAGTAGTAGTAGTAGTAGTAGTAGTCGCAGGAGTAGTAGTAGTAGTAGTAGTAGAAGTAGTAGTAGTAGTAGTAGTTTCAGTAGTAGTAGTAGTTGTTGTTGTAGTAGTAGGAGTGGTAGGGGTAGTGGTAGTGGTAGTAGTAGCCTAGTAGTTGCTGTTGGACACAGTTCGGGGCCCGAGCTTCGGCGCCCGAACCTGGGAAACTTCGAGGGCCCGAGCAGTAGTATATAGTAGTAGTCGTCGTAGTAGTAGTAGTAGTTGTTGTTGTTGTAGTTGTAGTTGTGGTAGTAGTAGTCGTCGTCGTCGTAGTAGTAAGTAGGGATGTGTTTGTGATTGTGGTTGCGTCTTTGTCGTTGTGGCTGTGGTTGTTTGGGGTTGTGTGCTTGTCATTGCGTGTTTGTGACTGTGGCTGTGGTTGTGTTTGTGGTTGTGTGTTTGTAATGGTGTTTGTGGTTGTGTGTTTGTGATAGTGTGTTTGTGATTGTGTGTTTGTGATTGTGCGTTTGTGGTTGTGTTTGTGGGTGCATTTGTGATTGTATTTGTGGTTGTGTGTGGTTGTGTTTGTGATTGTGTTTGTGCTTGTGTTTGTGTCTTTGTGATTGTGTGTTTGTGGTTGCGTGTTTGTGATTGTGTTGGTGGTTGTGTGTTTGTGATTGTGTGTTTGTGGTTGTGTGTTTGTGGTTGTGTTTGTGATTGTAGTTGTGTGTTTGTGGTTGCGTTTGTGATTGTGTTTGTGGTTGTGCTTGTGGTTGTGTGTTTGGGACGGTGTCTGTGGTTGCGTGTTTGTGTTTGTGATTGTGTATGTTGTTGTGTGTTTGTGAGTGTGTTTATGGTTGTGTTTGTGGTTGCACGTTCGTGATTGTGTTTGTGGTTGTGTGTTTGTGGTTGTGTGTTTGTGGTTGTGTTTTTGCGGTTGTGTTTTTGTGGTTGTGTGTTTGTGGTTACGTGTGTGTGGTTGTGTTTGTGGTTGTGTTTTTTTTTGGTGGTTGTGTGTTTGTGGTTGTGTGGTTGTAGTTGTGTGGTTGTGTTTGTGGTTCTGTGTTTGTGGTTGCGTTTGTGGTTGTGCGCTTGTCATTGCGTGTTTGTGATGGTGGCTGTGGTTGTGTTTGTCTTGGGTGTCTTTGTGATTGTGTGTTTGTGGTTGTGTTTGTCATCGTTTTTGTAGTTGTGTGTTTGTGGTTGCGTTTGTGATTGTGTTTGCGGTTGTGCTTGTGGTTGTGTCTTTGTGGTTGTGTCTTGGTGGTTGTGTGCTTGTGGTTGTGTGTTTGGGGTTGGGTGTTTGTGGTTGTGGTTGTGTGTGTGTTCGTGATTGTGTGTTTGTGGCGGTGTGTTTGTGGTCGTGTGTTTTTGGTTGTGTTTGTGGTTGTGTGCTTGGGATTACGTGTTTGTGGTTGTGTGTTTGTCATTGTATTTGTGGTTGTGCGTTTGTGGTTGCGTTTGTGATTGTGTTTGTGGTTGTGCTTGTGGTTGCGTCTTTGTCGTTGTGGCTGTGGTTGTGTTTTTTGGTTGTGCGCTTGTCATTGCGTGTTTGTGATTGTGGCTGTGGTTGTGGTTGTGTGTTTGCGATGGTTTTTGTGGTTGGGTGTTTGTGGTTGTGTGTTTGTGGTTGTGTGTTTGTGGTTGTGTGTTTGTGGTTGTGTGTTTGTGTTTGTGTGTTTGTGGTTGTGTGTTTGTGGTTGCGTGTTTGTGGTTGTGCGTTTGTGGTTGTGTTTTTGTGGTTGCGTTTTTGTGGTTGTGTGTTTGTGGTTGTGTGTTTGTGGTTGCGTGTT